TAGTTTTTACTAGCGAAAAATAAGACTCTTTTTTTTGTCAGCAATCGAAATTCCAAGTTTAATGAGCCCTTTGCAAAAATAAACTATGTTCTTTCTAATAAGCAAACTATCGACTCTTCACAACGAGTTGTTATCACACTATACTGAAAATAAAATTAATGCAAAATTTTTGCACTATCTCTTATACGTTATCGAATATATTTTATAAAATAAATGAAATAATGAATCCATCGATATCAAATTCAAAAATATTTATACTTATTTTCTATCATTTCTCTATCAGAAGTCAATAAGTATATTTTATTCGTCTTCTTTCCAATAGCCTGCGGCTTAATAACATCAAAACATTTTTCTATCGTTTTTCATAATCTTATAATCAATTCTTGAACTTCAATATTTGAAATTCTACTTAGAAGAGAAATTATAGATAAACGAAGACTATAAAAGTATACAACACGATATAACTATTTTTATGAAATTTCACCGATAAAAAGGTCCAATGAGTAATAGAATGTCCTAAAAGTTTCAACCAAAAAGAATGTTCCTTTATCAAGATATTGAATTTTCGTTTGCTACAAAAATCAAGTTCACTTGAAAATTCAAATATTTTTTTTTTTGGCTAAAACGGTTATAACTCGACTGACTCTACAGGAACGAATCTTTTTAGGACTTTTCTACTGTTATCAAGATCTTCTTGTGAACTCAAATGATGAATATTAATTCGGGTAATTCTCTCGTATTATATTTTTTAACAAGACCAAACACAGTCATATATTCCAAAAATTCGAACTTTTATTTACGAATAAAGTCTTCTTATTAAAAAACAAACCGATATTTTTCTACATACTCTAGCATCAATTTCCTGTGTTGTTATTTCATCGATTGATGGTGCTGTTGTATTATCACTTAAAATAACAAAATTACGAAAAAAAAAATCACAAGTTGCAAGAACTTACATATTTTCTTCAACCTTTTGTTTTCCATATAACCATGTTTCTTCATTCTCATTATTAACACCGGATTCTTTGACTGATGAATTTGTGTCTGTTATTGTTGTTAAACCATTTAATGATGAATTTTCATCAATAACTGTTTCCGACATGATCTAGCTCGAAGAAGTTTTTTTTTTTGAATATTATTTTTGTTCTTCAGTTTATATCTGTTGATGTAAGACAAAAACAAAGTAACCAATCATATGTTATCTTTTATATTTCTAAATAATAATAAAAAAGAAAGTCTGACATCTATCATCTTTCCACATACTATTTATTCATTCATTCATCGGATACATTGTATTATTGATTGATCCGATCAGTTTATAGTCAATAATTAACAGATTGAGAATGTCATCAACTTACATGGTATTTCGTTGTGTATTTACAATAGTTAATATGTTTTTTTTTGTATGTTAAAAAACCTTAATTTTTAATAAATGAATATTTAAATAATAGAAAAATTTTAGGCATTGGGATTTGCTGTTGTCGTTTGTAGTTGGTGGTTACATATAAAATCGGTTGATTATCGACCATTAATGAAAAATCAATTATTTACAGCACCTGTTATATTAATTATTTCAGGTTTATAAATTTGAATTTTTTTTTCATTTTCATATATATATTATTTGAAATTTTTTTTAGCAAAATTTTCTATGTTACTTGGTGCTATTGGATGTATTGGTGCATGGTTTGAAAAGAAAATTTTATTATTTATTGTAAATAAAAATTCTTTTGTTTTAATTCTTGATTTTTTTTTTGTTTTTTATTAAAGTATATTATAACAATGATAGTTATTTTCGTGGCATTATTACTTGGTGTTGTATTTGTTATTGCTTTTAATGAACGAGTAAAATTTTATTTTTTTTTTTTGTGAAAGAAAATTATGAATATTTTGCTTTTATATTTAAGGTAGCAATGACTGCACGAAAAGAATTACTTGAAAATATTCGTCAATATCCAGGTGATGAAGGTGCTGATGAAAATAATTTTCGTAAAACAATGAATTCAATACAAAAACGAGTAGAGAATTTTTATAGAAGTTTTATTTAGTTTACAAAAATAAAATATTGAATTTCTATTTAGTTTCATTGTTGTGGTGTTGATCAATATCAAGATTGGTTTAATGCTGATGTATGGACTGGACAACCATATGTACCAGATTCATGTTGTATTGAAGAAACAAATGGTTGTGGAAAACAAATTGCTGCTAATGAAACTTATGGTTTAATTTATATTGATGTATGTTAGAATAGAAGAAGATTTTGTTTTTTTTTGGATTATAAGGAGTCGTTTGTTTTAGGGATGTTTCAATATGATTCAAATGGAAATTAATCGAAATTTAATGATTGTTGGAATTTTAGCTTTTGTTCTTGTATTTGTTGAAGTAAGTTAATCAGTAGGTTAAGTGTTTAACAAGGATTAAAACCTACTGGACTCAAAACTTTTTTGTCTGACAAGAGAAGTCTTCCAACTATGAATACCCTAAAAAAAGAATTCAAACCCTTAGCTTATTCCTGCAGTGGTCTCCTTCAGAATATGTAATTTTTTGCAAAATGACTAGATTTTTATAGACTTGTCAGAGGAAACTTTGACTGTACCACCATGTTTTCGGAGAAATTTTTGTGGTTTTTTTGTAAAGTTGTTCTATTTCGGAAAAACTCTGTTGTCACTTGGATCAGCATTGAAGAGAATATTTTTATGTTAACCAGCATGATAGATGGCGTTAGCTATCTCCATCTGTTATGTGCTTAAAAATATGCGATTGTAATATTTTTTTTTTCTGAATTTGAATGAAAAAATTCATTTCTAAAACTTTAGTTTTTTTCTCAAAATATAGTTTCCAGAGAGGAGAATTGAAATAACTCCCATCCGGCTCTGGATTTTTGATATTTGATTTCTGGACTGAGAAAATTGGGATTTACTGTCGAGAGAATCATCTTGTTTTGAACACCATGTTCACTAAAATCGTCATAACAAAATTAATGAAAGAAAGTTTCAAAATTCTGTACCTCTTATAACGATGGAATTATTTCGATTCTCTTAGAAGCTATAAAAACAAGCCCGAAGCTCGGTTTATCAGACTGAAATTCTTACCATCTAAGTGGTAAATTGTATTGAGGAGGTCTCCATGGCAAGTTTCAAATCAAAATTCGAAAATCAATTTTTCTGAATCACAACATTTAAAAAAATATTTTTAAAAGTGCAATATGTCTGTAGCAATAAGCTAAAAGGATAAACTCTTTTCAGAGTATATTTATAGTTCATTCGAATCTACAATTTTCATAGTAACGAATTCTAATTGAATCAATTGAAATATGTAAGATTGTAGAGAATTAAAAGATGTATCTTGTTAAAAAAAAATTTGCTTCTTTGCATTTTAATATTATCGAAATATATGCAAACTACTGAGAGATCTATTATTTATGGTCTACCCATTATATTCAAATGTTGATTGTAAAGTTTTTATTATCATAAAAAAAATTTTACTGAAGATTCTTAGAGTTATAAGAAAACGAATTTTTTTATTTCAACAATCTATCTACTTTTCTTAATCTTTTTCGTAATGAAATGACATATAGCATTTCTTATCAACTAAGAAAAAGTACATATTATCCACGATGCTCTACATGTAAAGGAAAGAATGGTAGTCACAATACGAGTTTACTTTGCAAGAGAAAAATTAAATTAATTAATAAATTTGAATCAAATATAAAATGCCATCAATATTATTTCAAAAGTAGAAAAGACAAATAACACAAAAGCAAACGCAATATATCAACTCTCTAAACTGAATACGTTCCTATAGTAAACGCTTTTTAATAGTTCCTAAGTTTTACTGTATCAGAAGTTAATCATTGATATGTTCTTTTTTTTTTTAGGGCTTTTGTATCGTTGCTGCTCTTGGTCTACTTTGTTATCTTCGTCAACGTGATCGTTATATTTAATACATCTATCTTTAGTTAAACTAAGGCTCTTCTTGTTCAGATGAATTTGCTTTTTTTTTCATGCTCTCGTAATTGTCATGAATATAAATAATGCAATTTTTGTTTTTACAATGTTTTTTTTTTACTTTTGAATTGGTAGATTTTATTACTATTACTATCTGTTTAACAGTGTGTGTGTGTGTGTTTCTTTTCTTTTTTACATGTATAGTCTTGTACTTTAACTTATGATTATCTATTTCATGTTTGTTTTTTGTTTTATATCAGTTTGTCAAAAAATTTAATCTGAATAAAATTCAATTTATTTATAAATATAAGAAAATAAGAATGGAATTTATTGAAATATTCCATCTCTCATATTGAAAACAAAATCAATCAAGAATCAAAGTATTGAATTTAATCATGATCAAAAAAACAAAAGAATATTAACATGACTTTTGGTCCACCCTGTATTTTGATCTATATACACTAAATCTATGTTTAGGCAAGTACTTCTGGTATAAGTCAGAGAGAAAATGACAGTAAGAATACACATCTATTGCTTTCCCATACAATTATGCTATTCATTTTAGTTGTTTTGCATGATCATATTGTTTTGTCCCCCGTGTCTTATTTTTTTTTTCACATCATTTTCATTTTAAATCATTTTCTTTTCTTTTTGTCTGAGATTACCTGCATCTTGTGAATTGAAAACAGGTTCAAGTACAGATCGAACTCGAGGAAGTAAGTTCACTTTATTTTTAGTTTAGCGTTTAAAAAGAAGTTTGGATTTGTATTTAGAATCTTATAAAGTTCCCATGATCATTGGACTAAGTATTGATGGTATTTTACTTCTTCTTCTTGTCGCTATTGTAATTGCTGCTATTATCTTTCTGAAACTTCGTAAAACAAATGCTACTGAAAAACGTTCTACAAGTAGTATGTATTTGTTGTTTCTTTCTTTTAATGAATTATTTAAAATCCTTCTCTTTGATTTTAGTTGAGAAAATATGCAATGACTAGGTTGATATTTTTCTCAAAATAAAAAAAGAAACGAACTAGAATATTTTTCTTATTCTTTATTATGTATTTTAATAAACAAGGAGGAACTGTTTGGAATCATAGAAGTAACATATCAGTGGATAATTCGAAAAAATATAAACGTGAAGTCTTAAAAGGTGATTTATCCTCGACATCACATTTGGTTGAATCAGCCGAAAGTAGTACAAGTCAATCTCCACCAGTTCCACGTCGTCCATCATCAATGGCAAGTTCACATTCATCATATCGTCAAACTTCTGTTAATATTTCACTGTCATATCAGCAAGCCAGTGCTTTTCCAAATTCTTATCCACCACCAACATCATTACGTTCTTATTCACCTGATCAAGATGATGATGATGGTGATGATGAAAACGATGTTAGTATTAAGGCAATGCCTTTAACAGCAAATCGTTCCCGAACAAATACACCATTTGGTTCACATAAATCACTTTCAGACTCGATTCAATCATTAAGATCAAATCAACAACCAGCATTATCATTACCTGTCAAAAAACATTCACATGAACCTTCACCATTACCAGCACTAATGATTCAAAAACCTGATCAACGTACACAAACACCAAAACCATTTCACGTGAAAAAAATTATCAACATCATCATTATTATAATTCAGGACAATTAAGAGCTCAACAAAAACGAACAGTAAATAAAGATAGATCATCATCATCATCAGAAAACCAAGGAGAAGATGTCGAACACCAATTATAACTAACATTACTAATGCAGTTTTAGTTGTATATGCATTGAGAAAAGAAAAAATATAAAGAATGTTTTATAAATTTCGATTTCCTTGTACGATTTTCATTCTTATTACATATTTATAGTATATTCTAAATATTGTTTTCATTTCAGATAATAGTTCTGAATATCGTTATTGTAGTACCGTTAATGGGAAATAAACTAGACAAAATAGAACCTGGTACTGGCCGCAAGATTTGTCCAGATCAATTTGGTGATGCAAACAAAATTGGTTTAGCATATTATGTTCTATATCATGCTCCAAGTGATATTACATCAGACGAGGTGGGAAAATACTCACATCATGGGTTGGCAATTGATATAAATGGTAGTCAAACGAATTTATAAATTTCTCTATCTCATCCTATCTCTAATCATCATAGGTTTATCGAATGACGAGATGTTTCGTGCTGCTCATTTCGATTTACATATACATGCACCAACAAATTACTCAACATATGTTGAATATAACTACAAAGAACGAAAGTGGACCGACTATGCTCTTGTACAACCAATTGGACGAATACCTCCATCGGTAATTCAACAGTATGGTATACCGCATTATTACGCTCACTACGTCGAGTGGATTTTAGCTTCTCAAGTTTATCATCCAATGACAATAACAAACAATGGTTCTCATTTGTCCAAACTTCTCAACTCTCAAAGTTTCAATAAAGCTGCTATTAGTCATCTACAACTTGCTTATCCGATGGACATTAATGTTGCCGAACACTCTTCTCCAGCATTTGTTCATATATTTCTACCTGATCCATTAGAAAATCTTAATTCTGAAAAAACACTAAACGAACAATGAATCATCATGATCCTCATGTTTTTATGAAACTCAGAAGAAAAATGAAATAAAAAATTACTCTAAAGTTTTGTAACATCTATCTGTTTTAGATTTTCATTATTCTCAGAAGATAACATCAACACTTCGAAACATGTTTGTCTACGAACTGTTAGTAGCAAATGTTGAATTTCAACCAATTATATGGTGAAGATATCAATCAAAAAGATGAAGCGACCAATTATCAATGAAACAAAATTTGTAATAGAAATGAAAGAAATAAAAAGATAATATGAATAAAACCAATTCTTCATCAATCGAAATCAATGATAAGATATTAATTTTGTATTTGTTCTCATTCGGGTGTATGTTATATAAATTATTAAAATGATATAGTCCATTTCGATAATATAAAACAAAATATATAGTTTTAAAACGTCGAATGAAAACAAGTCTATTTATTGAAATTAACTCCACCATTAATTCCATTACGTGATGAAGTGAATGCAACTGATGCTTTTGATATTGGAAATTTTAATGAAGATGGTACAAAAGATATTCAAATAAATATAAATATTCGAACGAAACAAAAACAAAATTTATTTTTATTTAATTAGCTAACAAAAGCTGATCAAGAATTGTATAAAAATTTTCCAATTGTTATTTCTGAACGATGGTAACAAGAAATAACTGGTAGAAATCAATGAGATATTTGTTTATTTTGAATCGTATGAAAATATATCGTTTGTTTTAGAAACAGTATTTGATACAGTTAATCAAGAAACAGATAAAATTGAACAAAAATGATGAGCCAAATTCAAACAAAATACTATTTATGATGATGAAAAAACATCTGATTTGATTTTACAAGGACAATTGAAAAAGAATACAGGAACATTTGGATTTTCATAGTAAATACGTTATACAAAATTATATCCAAATCGACTTGAACTACATTATGAAAAGGGTGATAAAGATCTAGAGGTAAATTATGACGACAATAAAACATTTTTCTTCCTCATAAGTTAATTGTTTCGATAATTAAATAGAAACTACAGAAACTGTTGCATAATATAAGAGATAGAACTAATCTTTCTTATGTATTTATGAGATGAAACCAGACATCAAAAGATCCCTTTTGTTGAACATAAGAAGCTGCAAAACAGCAATATGTAACAATCTATAAATAGAGACATGTGTGGTTATTATTGTCCGGATACAATTCAAGGTGTTTTTCTTTTTAATATATCCCATGATTATGTGAAGGAAAAGGCTGACCTTCATGCATACTTGCTATGTTACATCTTCGCGAATTCTCTTTTGTCCAAATATGTATCTGATCTGTTTTTAAAATATGTGTCATTTCTATCAGAAAATCTAATGAAAAAACAATAGAAGTAGAATTGATAGCAGAAATGAACATATCGATCGTCTTTGTATAAATTTTTTTCGATTTGTATATTCAAATCCAATACAATTTTCAACTTACTGAAGTATTTTTTTTTTCTTTCGGTATAGTCCAATCGGCTGATCATGTGATCAGAATATAAGAATCTCACTACGAAATTTTTCAACTCGTATCACTGTCATGGAAACTATGGAAAGCTCTGACGATAATACTAACAAGACGATGATAGCGGATCGAAACTAGTAATAGATTTGATGCAAATAAACAATACCAAGCAGATGTTATTGCATTGCACAGAAAAGTTTCCGAATAAATCAAGCACACTAAATATTGTTTCTCATAGCACATTGAAAAAAAGAATTCCTGATTCTAAATTTTATTTATCAACTACCTTCAGAATAAGTATTAATTGATGAGTGATAAATGGAAGTTAATAGTATCATTCCACAAGAAACTTAGTTATTTATTTCAGTTGACTGTTAGTTTGAGAACATTTGATTTCTCAAATGAATTAACTCAAACTCTCAGAATGTAGAGAATCAAGTGAAGTATAACCACTCGAGAAAACGACAAAGAACACGTTCAGAGAAAATTCATATATTTTTCTAAGAAAAAAACGACAGTCACTTTTATGAAACTTATTTTCTATCGTTCCAACCTATAACGGCAAAAAAAGCAGTTCATGGTTTCTGAAGCTTTTTTTGAAAAAAGGACATTCATTTCTATAGGATGCATCTTCAATCATTATTATCTGGATTCACATTACGCACAGGAAGCCTCGAAAAGAAGTAAATGAAGTTGATATGCGACTCGTTCAGAGATTTGTTCAATTACAACTTAATGTGCTGTATTCAACTGTGTGAAACGATTTTTCGAGCTCAAACTATTATTTGAAATATTTTTTTAGAAATTAGGATTGCCAGCAGGGCAGGAAATACAACTCATCGGAGGTTGTGCCTATATTGGCACCACTTTCAATGACTTGTACCGCAGTTTTGTTAGTTTGGAATCAAAATTGACACTGAATCCAGATTAAAGCGTTCAACAATTTAGAGAACGTCGAAGAATACGTCATTTCTTTCCAAGAGTGATATTAGGATTGTGTGGAATACGTTTATCAGTTTAAAGAATCCATTTTTGGGTGTTTCTTTAAAGAACATCGAAGAGTGCGATCTTATTTTGATGGAATTCTATTCTAATGTTTCAAAAAAAGAGCGTACAGAGACGTATTCTGTTGATTCATGGAACAGTTCAGAATATTTTCTGTCTCGATGAAGAACAGTTTTTGAACAGAGAAGAAAGCATTCAGTAATAGTGTGGAACGCAGTGAATACATTCCTTTACACTTAGAACATTTTCTTTCGTTTATGAACGCGCTCCCTAAATTATGGAACGCGATCTTCAAGCAAAAGGCCAACTTCTATCTTTTCATGAATGCATTATCTTTCACTTTTTTTTCATGACTATTTTTCAATGCCAAATAATGAAAATAATCATTTCTAAAAAATCTCGAACATTTTCAGGGAGAGAGGTCTCAGAAACATCACCTTTGATAAAAATGAATCACGACAATGGTTCAAAAAATGTGATGGCGTGCTTGTCAAATAGTTCCTAGTTAATGTTATTGTGTTTCAGAAGTGAAGCAACAACTTTTTTCATATGACTGAATGATACTAAAGCACGTTTCATAAACAGAAATAGTCGTCTATTGATATATCCTTTGAAGTTGACGTCAAAAGACTGAATGTAAATTCAACAATTTAAATATCATATTATTGTTAAGAAAAAAAAGAGTTTTTTTTTGAAGAATGAAATTTTGTTTGTAATTATTTGATGTATATCTTAAAGATCAATATTTTTCTTTTCAGATCAATGATAATAATTAGGTAATCGTTCAGGACAGTTATGTTATTTGCATAAAATTATTTCGTACTAAAAACGCACTGTTAAAATTTCTAAACCATTTTAAAGAAGACTAATAAAAAAAAATATTTTTCTTTTCAATAAAAATAGAAAGAATTGAACATATTCATTCAAAAGAATGTAAACGACAAAAAAATACGATAACAATACATTTAAAAAGTGGTGATGAACCATGTTTAATGCTTTCACCACAGATAAGACTTAATTTCTTCTTTCTGTTCTCACATACGTACTCATCTTATTTATCCACAGTCATATTTATTTGTGTGTATTTGTATGGATATTATAAAAAAATGTTATCTATATATATCTGATCATCTTGTGCTTTTGTTATATATTGATGTGTTGAATATTATATTTAAATTAGCATGAATGTATTTTTTTGATTTGTTTGGAAGAATTGCATCCATCTCCGTATAGGATGAAGTCTGATGGATTGAATGGAGAAAAGCCTTATATGATACACTTGTTACATCACAACAACATTTAACTGTTAGTGAAAAAGCATCAAAAATTTGTGGAGCTGATGTAAGTAGTACAACATCTACAAATGTTAATCCAGATCAACAATTATCTTCCGGTAATCGTCATAATGCATTATCAGCTTCTTCTGCTACTCATAGCGCATTAATGAAAAACAATGTTGCTGCAGCTGCACTTCAGGATTAACAAAAATAAAATGTTAACTTTAAAAAAAACTTTTTTCCTTTCTATTTCGAAAAACAGTGATTTGTTGTATTCTTTGGTTAGTAGAAAATGAAATTTCAATTTCTACTGCAACATCTAGATCTGATTTTTTTTACTCTACTAACATCTAGTTTTCTTTTATATTCAGGTGTTTTTTTTCACTTGTATCCAGATTGATGTTTTAGTTTATTATTATAATCTTGAATACTTTTGTTTTTTTTTGCAATCAAATGTTTTGTATTTATGGTTCTTAAATATATATATAGATAGAAATGTAATAAAATATTTTAGACACAAAAGAAAGAAAAAAAAATGTTTTCAATGCCATATCAGTTTGGAAACAAAACATGTCATGTATATGATTTAGTTAAACGAAATTATAATTTAAAAAAATTGACTATTCAAATGGAAAAAAATCCATATAGAAAAAATATTATGGAAGAAAAAAGAATTATAAGAAATATTAAAACGATTAATTGATAAACAGTAGCAATATTCAACGAAAAATTCAGATCGAAATTTATCAAATAGATATTATTTTTATTTCAAATCAAATGAGAAAAGTTTTCATAATGAAATAAAATCTAAAGACAGGATTATCAAATCACAAAGTTCAAATAACATTTACAAATATCGAATAGTCTGAAAAAGACAACTAATTGCATAGAGTATGTTATTAGTGCAAACAAAATATATTGGATGTTTTTTTTTTATTTAGAATATGATATGAAATATTCATTCTTCACTCAAACTTAGATTGATTCCAGTGAAAGAAACATAAACTGTTCCGATTCATTGGCTAACGAGGAAACATACTCAACTGTCGGGGTAGATCTCAGTAAGATTGAGACCAGTTTAAAAACATTCGAATCCATAGTCGACTCATAAAGAATTATGGTTGTTGTAATGAAAGTCTTACTGAGAGCAAGGTATGTCTGAAAAATTCAAAACAAAGAATTTGGCCTATAGGCATGTTTGATAGTTCTGAAAATTTCGATGAAACGTTCACGACTATCTAATGACTATAAAGCGTGCCTATGCGTAAAATTTTACATCGAAACTTTTTGTTTTAGATTTTCCGAAAATGCCTTGCTCTCAGTACGAGACCTAGTCGTGCCCATAATATGAAGCCGAACGGTGTTCGACAGTTGGGTATGTTCTCTTGTAAGTCTTATATAGAAATGAATTTATATTTTTGTTTTCTTCCAGTCATGGATCAATTCGAATTGTACCCATGTCGGATGTTTGTTCGTGCTACCGCAACACTCATATGAACTGGCAGTAAATCACCAATCAGAGAATAGCCAACCGTTTCACTGCCGGTATAATGCATATTATACCGAACGATCTACCGATGGTTTTTTTGTCTGATTTGAATCACATGAGTATGTTTATAAGTATACAAAATGATTCAACTTCATTTTGAGTAAATTATTTGAGATATTTTCCTAATGGCAATAGCTTGCAAAAATCAGAAAAAAAAAGATTGAAGTCTGTGAAAGATACTTCGATATCTTCTATGTTTTCATTAAAATTTTTCAAGAATTGGAAAATCGATCAGAAACCTTTTGTTAATTAGCACAGTTGAAAGTGCAAACATTTTTAGACTAATTGAAATATTCGTGACCGTTTTACGACTTTTCTTTATCAAATTGTAGTTAATTTCTGAAATGTATCGCAGCATGTTTTTCAATTATTTTTTTTTTCAAAAATCTGCTGTATTTTTCCTCTTCGAGGCTCCTGTAGATTCACTATAATTAGATGAACGGAAAGTTCGAGTACATCTGATTCTGCTCAAAAACGTTTGCACTTTCCAATGATCTTATTTGCAAATAGTTTCTGATCAATTGCAGAATATTGATTTTCCAAAGGACAAACTATCCAAAAATGTCAATGAAGAGCTAAAAACAAAATGCCTTTTTGCTTCCACTTTATAGCTGATTAAGTCGAATGAAGATGAAAAAATTAATATTCAAATGAAGTACTAAATGTGTATTTTAACAGTTGAAGATAAGAAATTACTTATTTTATTTTGAAATATGAAATAATTTCAATAATTTTTATTTTTAGTACAAGTGAATATAAAGAATATTTTTTCTTATTCTGTAAGTATTCAATAAAATGAATAGAATAGTCTGATTCATCAGTTATTAAACGATCAAAATATATATCATATGATCATTTTGGACAAAAACGTGCAATATATTTAAGTAAAATCTTGCGCGTATTTGTTGCTAATAGTATTGGTTCAGGTGGAATTGATGATATACTAGCTGGAAAAAATTTTCAATTAACAAATGTTAGTTATTTTAACAAAATTTAAATTGATTCAATTTTCTTTTTTTTTTTATTACTTAACAATTTATTTAGATTATTGTTCCAGTTGATTTAACCGGTCGCTCCCCGATTCGTCCCTTATTCGTCCCATCTCAAATTCGTCCCACTCTAATTGAGTCCTAACTCGTCCCTTTCTCAATTCGTCCCCGATCCCAATTCGTCCCTTTCTTAATTCGTCCCTAATTTCATTTGAATGCATCTATTATAGTGACATCTTGTAGAGGATAATTACTAACCATTGTTAGGTAGTCATCGACACATCATGTCGTCAACAATTTTGGGGTGTGGGTGCGGGTGTGGGGGTGGGTATGAGTGTGAGGTGTGGGTGAAGAGAAGAACCACACCCATTCACAACCACTTCCACATCCACAGCGACATCCATACCCACACCCTTTACAATATAAGCTCTTGATTGATAGACAACTAGGGACGAGTTGGGAGTGACCGAAAAACGAGAAAGGGACGAATTTGGAAAAATTCAGAGTGGGACGAATAGGGGATGGGACCAATCAGGGGCGAATCGGGGGTAAACCGATTTAACCCTTTGAGTCCTGAATTTTTTCTATTGAGTCAAAATTTGATGAAACTCGATATAACCTAACTAGGTGATATTACGAAGTATGTAGTTAAATTACAATTAAGAAAAGCACGTGATCACATGAAAATTAAAATGTTTTTGTTATTGTTGTGTTTTAGTAAAAAATTGTTATTTTAATTACTGAAACATTTATTTATTTCATTACTCATACACGTAGTTTTGATGATACAACAAAAAACAATTTTTTACGCAAAGATCAACACAACAAAAGTTACAAATTATGTTCGTCCTTTTTTCTATTTCTTTTGTTCTACAATAAGCGCACTGAGGATAAGTTGAAATAACTTTTGGTATATGAGCCAAAAGTTGTAGTTTTTCAGAACTTTCTGTGTTACTTATTCTCTTTTCAATGCATTTCTTCTTCTGATTACTTATCGCCGAAGGTCTTTCTACTCTTTTTCTACTGCAATAACTACCTGCGAGTGTGGTACGAATAGACGACACACATCCTAAATATCCTTAAGTACCAAATTGGTGACCTCCATATGAATAATCTATGCTGACTCGATATTCGGACACACATATAGACATTGCGTATTGTATGTACAGAAGATAATTCTCTTGTTCAGAATTGATGGAAATAAAAACAAATGAATTTAATCTTTTGCAACATACTGAACTATCGAAGGTAATCCTTTTTCTTTTTCTTAGTTTCTTTTATTGAATATATTTAGATCATAAACTCAATGACTCTGCTGAACAAGAACGTATTCATGAAGCTGTAGGAAAAATATCAGAAACATATGCTGATGATGTTTTACGTGTAGAAAATCGATTAGCTATGACACATGTGTTAGGAGATTTTGAAATAGATAAACATATAATACCACCTACGGCAGATATTGTTAAATATCCAAGAAATTCATTAGGAGCATTTGTTTTTCTTACATAAGATGGTATTTGGGATGTTATGATAAATAAAGAAGTAGTCATATAGCAACAACAATATTAGAAAATATTGCATTACAATTATTAGATGAATGTTTTCATCGAAATAGTATTAACAATCTGAGTGTCTATATTGTAAAGCGTTAAAATTTTATTATATATAAAAAAACCAAATAAAAATAAAATTTCTTAATTTACCCAAGGGTATTAAATGACAATGGGTTATTTTTTTGTGTTTGTATCATATTCATACAAATGAGTTTAATTAATGAATAATAAATTAATCTTTTTTTTGTAATTATTTGTTAGAATTGTTCTCAAAATGATTGAACATTTTTATCAAATATTCTTTTAAGTATCTAATTCAAAATGCTTTTGCAATAAACACCTGTACAATAAAGAAAATCTTCAATGACGAAACTCAATCATTTCATATGACATTTGTCAGATATACTATCGAATTCATCTTTTAAACATTGATAAAATATTCTTCATATATCACTGTTTAGAAGCATTTACTAATTGGATTTTACAGATATTTATTTCACGCATTATGTAATTGCAAAGAGACAAACAAATGATTATATTAATTTTTCTAATTAATGTATTCAGTTAATTTTATCTTGTCTTAGTTTGAATTCTCGATTTAATCCATTTTCTTATATTTTGTTTTCTTTCCAGAAAATAAGGAACCTGAAATGTAACACAACATTTCCGCGCATGACACTTCCGTGCTAAATGAAGTTTTGGGTGTGGATGTGGATGTGCGTATCTTCTCTTCTTAGATCCTCACCAACTTTCGTCAGTATATATCATTCGTTCACAATCAAGTAAATGATTTCTTTTGTACTATATTATAAATCAATTTATTTTTCCATAGACAAAAAAAGCATATAAACTACAATTTTATGATTATTAACAATCAATGATTTAATATTCATTATTCTCTTCACCGAATTCTTGGTGAAATATAATTGTTCATTTATTTTATGATAAAAAAAAAGATATTATAAAATCTTATTTAAATAATTGAACAAATTCATCAAATCCTATTTTTCCATCACCACTTTGATCTAATGATTTAACCATTGCATCAATTTCATCTTTATTAAAACGTCGACCCATTTTTTGCATAATATGTTCCAATTCTTGAGCTTGTATATAACCTGAACCATCTTGATCAAATTGACGAAACGCAGCACGTAATTCATCTTGAGAATATTTTTTAAAAAATGTTGTAGCCATTACTCGACAAAATTCATCAAATTCAATTTGACCTGTATGAAAATAAATCTTTTCTTACGATTCAAAAAAAAACATACTTTTTTTTTTTGGTTTTATACATACCACTTCCATTAGTATCCATTTCATTGACGAATTGTTTTAATTGATTATCATTGGTTCTAATATTTAATGCTTTGAATATATTACCTAATTCTCGATGTGATATTTTGCCTGAACCATCTATTCAAAAAAAAAGAATAAATAACTATTATTTATAATAATATTTTATACCTGTATCAAATACATCAAAAGCATCTTTTAATTCTTGACGTTGAGCACTCGTTAACGTATTTGCCATTCTTATGTTTCTTGTAACTAAAAACCAAGCCGATATATTTTATATTAAAAAAAAAATAGAAGGAACGGAATCGACTAGTCAGACTTTATATACTTCTTCTTGACAAGAAAGAAAAAAAAAAGTTGTTCGCTATGCATACATTCGGCAGCACCGTGTTGACAACAACAGTGTTCCTCTAACAAAAAAAAATATTAAACCCATTGTGAGGTCGTGTAAAACGTCTAGAAATAGAAGAGAAGATCAGAAAAAGAGCTTTTTTTTCTTCCATAAAATAGAATAACGTCGTCACATTTGAAAGCAATTTAGACAAAAAAGAAAAAGAATAAGAATTCTAAAGAGAGTAGAATGTGAATAAATATGTTTTATAATGTTTGTCAAAAGTAACGCAATAATACTTCTTCGATGTTATAGTCAATGCTATACTTTACATTTGAATGACATAATAATTTTATCGATTTGTCTCAAAAGAGTTATTTAAGTTTTTTACAACAAAATATTTTCTTGTTATCACTTACTAATTATATTCTATTAGTTCTAAATACATTATCATGAAGGAAATAATTTGACCTCAAATTAAGACTTAATAAAAATAGAAGATATTTTACTTACAGGATGTCTTAAAAGTTAACGGAGAAAGTTTATGTAAATATCTCTATTAATATTTTATAATATATTCTTTGAATATTTGTTCGATATAATTTTAGGCAAATATCTGTGTTGTTTATAAACATTAGGATAGAAATTGTTTTATTAATGGCCAAATTTATGTCTTCTATCATAGTGAAAGAAAAAATGCAAGTGAAATTCGGCATACATAAATCAGTCATAGACTGTATTAGAGATGTTTTTTTTGTGAAATCAGTATAGTAGTAAATAGATAATAATCTGAGAGACCTTTCAAAATTACAGAAAAAGTCGCTGAAATTCATGATGCTTGTGAAAATGTGCTAATATCGAGTGTTCGGATCGCTGTAACTGTTTGCTTCATTCTACGAACAATAGTAGGCCGAATTATAACTGAATATCTTCTAATGAAGTCAATGTTAAAAAATATCAACAATCAGACGAATTGGTTATTTTCGTCAGATGAAATTTCTTTTCATTTAAATGATTTATTGATAAATATAAAGTGTATGAGACATATATAGAGATTTTGTTGAATTCAAAATAAAAATCACCTTTCTGCAGTACTTTGTTTTTATAGACTTTGAAAAAATTGGTTTAATATATTTCAATTGATGATAAAATCGTCTTGAACATTTACTGTAAACTAAATTATATGAAATAAAACTTAAAAGAATATAATATCATATTGTCAAAAAAGCAATTAAATCGCTCGAATTGTATAAAAGATATTTACGTAAATTTTTCCTCGAGGGCTTTTGAGACTTCCTGCATATATGTTACTGAAATTTTTTATTTAAATAATTTTGTTGCTTGATATATTCTTTCTTTTACCATAGTAGCCAGAACAAATTATAATTGATCGACATAAAAAAACAGACTGACTATGAAATTTGTTTACATAAATAAAACTTGTGGTTCTAAATACTATCACTCAGACAAATAATAAAAAATGCTTCTTATTACACGTAGACGAATTGATGAAGAAAAAAACTGTTCATAACTACTAATGAAACAAAGGAATCAGAGAAAATATTTTCGTGATATTTATATATTGTTTATTAGATAGGCACATACAGATAGTCAAAAAAAAAGTATCTGAATATCTATTTATTGTAATTTGTATTTTATAATTTGTGCAACTACAAAAAAGAATAAAAATATTTTATCTTTCATAAATGAATACGATGAGTATTTCTTCATCGGATCAGCAGCAGGTTATCAAGATATTGCTCTATGGAAATTGTCAATACAAATTATAAAAGTAATGATGTCATTTTTTTTTTTGAGAAAAAAAATATCTACTATATTCTATAATTCTTGTAAAAAGTTTGTCCTTCACCTTTTTTTCCGATTAATGTGTATTGTTTGAACGAAGAAATAAACAGCCGCTAACATCCGACACAACAAGTAGTTCATTCCGTGCGACTCGAAACATGGATTCATTTGAAAAGAAGGCTTCCAAAAGTTGTACACAACGGTCTAGATTATGGATTCATATAGAAAATACTATGGAGAATTACGGGTTGATCGTTAACGACAACGAAATGATTCTATCTTTTTTTTCATATCATGGAACTTGAGAAATAAGAAAATGGTTCTCATTAGTTCGACTACTTGTATGCATGTATAGGACAACTGCATAAATTTGAGAGGATAAACAAATAAACAATTCTTATTATTATCAGCAATGTCCAAGAACTGAGAAATAGAAATTCCTAAGTTGTGAAGGAGCTCTCAACGGAGCTATGATAAATCCTCGAATAAACAAGAACTGACTATTATTTTCCTTACAGTTTCATTATTCATAAAGGCTAAAGTGATGCTCCTGCTGCAATAATTTTCATATCCATACATACAAAAAAATATCGTGGATATTGTGTATTTTTTTATTTCAACAGTCATGGAACTGTGGAAGAATTGAGAAGTAATTCCTATTTCTCAGTTCTTGGACACCTCTCGCTATGATCTTCAATTTTAAATAAATATCTTAATGAAGGTTTTCAAAAGTTCATTTTTAACAGGCACGTTAAAAGCTTTCAGATGAAAAGTGCCTTCATTTTTCTACCGATAAAGAGGGTCAACAGAAAGTGTTTAACACTTGACTAAGAAAGAAGTCTATTATTCAGATGCTGATCCAAAAAATTCAAAACATGATGCAGTCAAGAAAAAGAAAGTGAGCAGTTGTACTCTCCGTCCCAGGATCAGTTAGTAAAATCATTTCTGTCCAAACTTTTTTTTTCAGGCTTTCTAAAGATTTGATCATAGCTTTCGATCTATGAGTCTCATAAAAATTTAATTGTACGAAAAATGAAGAAATATTTTGTATAAAAATTATCGACACACTTGCTATTATCATTGTTATTTAAAAAGTTCGGTATTGATAAGAAAATTTTATTCAAACTTCATGAAAAAGTATCACTTTATCTATTTCAATTCGAATTTGAAAGCAGAGCAATATACAAATTAAGATTTGCTCAAAACAAAAAAGGAACTTTTATTACAAAGCTAAATAAAATCTAGTCAAAAAACAATATCAAATGAAATGTCTAGTTCAAACTTGATCACAATTGATTTCCTGTCGATACATTAAAAAAAATGATGAATCACACAATATAACTAACAAATAAACGGATGTTTGATAGCCATCATTTGACTCATCTAATGATGTGCATGTGTCATGGCTTCCGCTCTTCATCTTCAATCGATTCGATATATACATGCAAATTGTCATCATTTGATTTTTCAAAATAACAATCTGTCCGCCCAGTTCCGTCGACATGAACAGGTTTTTTTTT